AGTAGAACGAAGACGAGGAGGCTGGTCAACAAAAAAAACGGCTCCTCCATTCCCTCCGTCTCTTCCTCGCGCGGGGGTGCAAGAGTGCGGCCGTGGTGAGCCAAGGATGCAGGCGTGAGGATACAGTGTGTCATGGATGTGTCTGCAAGGATACAGGCGTAACGGTGCGGGTGATCCTCCTTCCTTCCTGCCTCCCTCCTCTCCCCCGTTCGGGAACCAGCCCGAAGGTCAGTTGCTCGCTGGCTAAGCCGCTGATCCCTCTGTGGCCCCGCGAAGCGAAGGCGAGACACGTCGCCCGACCCGAGTCAGGAGTCCTGGGCCAGGAATTGGGCGAGAGGTTTGCGCACGCTCTACTGCCTGAGCCCTGCTTCTGGCCCCCCCTCCTCCCCCGCGGGGCGAGAATTCGAGCGGAAACCTGCACCGCCACAGGCATCCGGCCGGACCCGACCTCCGACATCGCGCTCGTTTCACGACCGACGTGGTCCCCCAGACGTCCCCACCCTTCCCTCGCCAAGGCTGCCTTTAGATGGGCCCAGGGACGTACAAATAAATGCAAGAGCGCGCTTCACCGGCGCACTCCTTGGGAACATTCGGCGGCGCGCTTCGAATCGGAAGATGGGCCCCGCCCCAACGTTCGGCGCCATCGATCAGAACCAGGGGGGCTCCCCTCCCCCCAAAACCCCCCATCTCGAACTCCTCCCCCCCTCCCAAAGGGGGGGGTCCACACCCCCCACCTGCGGCGCTGGCCCCTGCGCAGGCGCTGGCGGCCGCCAGCAGAGCCGACGGCGGGGACGCAGCGACGATGACCAAGGAGGACCCAGAAGGTCGGGGGGCGGGTTGAACCCCCCCCCGCGCCGGCGCCGGCGCTGGCGGCGGCCAGCAACGCCGTCGGCGGGGACGCAGCGACAATGACCAGAGAAGGCCCAGAGGCCGCAGAGGGAACACACAAATCGCCATATCGAGCCCTCTCATGCTCCCCAGACGCCCCCGAGACCCTTCCGACGAGACCTCAAGAGGCATCCATTAGAACTCTGGCCCAAAGCCAAAACATAATTAGAGAAGGGAAGAGCCGCAGGCCACAAAACCGCAACAACCACCACGAACCACCACACATCCTCCAGCACCACCGCAACCACCACAACCACCACCACAACCACCACAACCCACCACTACCAAAACCACCATCGTCACCACAAAAAACACCACCACCACCACCACCACCAAAAACGCCACCACCACCAGCACCACAACCCACCACAACCCACCACAACCACCACCACCACACACCACCACACCAGTACCACAACCGCCACCAACACCACCACAAACCACCACACCAACACCACCACAACCACCACCACCAACACCCACCACGCACCACCCACCACCACCACCAGCACCACTACCAGCAGCAGCAGCACCACCACCACCACCAACACCACAGCCCACCACCACCACCACAAACACAAACCACCACGCCACCACCACCACCACCACCACCGCCACCACCACGACCACCACCACCACCGCACAACCACACCACCACACCACCAACACCACCAAACCACCACACAACCACAGCCACAACCACCACCACTACCATTACAGCCCACCACCACCACCAACAACAGAACAACCCACCACCACAACTACCAGCACCACCATAATCTACCACACCACCAACACCACCGCCACAACCACCACCACTACTACCAGCAGCACAACACACCACCATGGCCACCACAAACCACCACCACCACCACCACCACCAACACCGCCACTACGACCACCACGAGCACCACCTTGACAAGCCACCACCGCCACCACCACCGCCACCACCACAAACCACCACCACAACAACCACCACACCATGACCACCACCATCGCCACCACCACCACGACTACCACCACAACAGACCACCACCACCACCACCACAAACCACCACCACACCACCACCACCACCACCACCAAGCCACCACAACCACACAACACCACCACCACCAGCACCGCCACCACCACCACAACCCACCACCACCACCACAAACTTCCACCCCACCACCAACACAACCACCACTACCACCACCACCAACCACAGCAACCACCACCACAATCAACCACCAACGCCACCACAACCACCACCACTACCACCACCACAAGCCGCCACCACCACAACCACTACCACCACCACAACCACCACGACAAACAACCAAACCACCAACGCCACAACCACCACACACCTTCACCTACCACCACCACAACTACCACCACTACCATCACCAGAAACAACCGCACCATCACCACCACCACCACCACCACTACCACCACAACCCACCACCGCCACCACCACAAACCACCACCACACCACCACCACCACCAAACCACCACACAACCACAACCACCACAACCACCAGCACCGCCACCACCACCACCACAACCCACCACCACCACCACAAACTTCCACCCCACCACCACCACCACCACAGCCACCACCACCACCAACCACAGCAACCACCACCACGACAATCAACCACCACCGCCACCACAACCACCACCACTACCACCACCACAAGCCGCCACCACCACAACCACTACCACCACCACCAAACCACCACGACAAACCACCAAACCACCAACGCCACAACCACCACCACCTTCAGCTACCACCACCACAACCACCACCACTACCAGCACCAGAAACAACCGCACCACCACCACCGCCACCACCACAAACTACCACAACCTGCGACCTCAACCACCACAACAACCACCACCACCACCAACAACAACAACAACCACCACATCACCACCACCACCACCACCACCAACAACAACACCACCAACAACAACAACAACCATTTTAAGGCTGTGCGCTCTTACTTGCCCGCGAGTCATTCAACACGTATACCCTACACCCTCGAAACCCGCCCTCTTCGTCTTCGATCACACCCCTTTCGGGGGGATTATTTCTCTTTGCTGGGGCCGGCGGGCTTAGACGTACGGGCAAACCGGAACGGGCGGACAATCCTTCGGGGGCGTACATCTCTCTGCCCGCCATTGGAATTGGCGCGGGCCCTGCAAGAGGAGGAGGGGAAGAACGAGGGAGAGTGGGAGGAAGGGGAGGGGGAATGACGAAGGAAGAGGGAAGATACCACGTTGTGAAGGCGTCCTTGGCGCGCGTGGTTCCTGAGCGCCGAAACGCAATTCCAGAATAATTTGTGAGGACGTCGCACGCGAGAGCGCAGTCCTGAGTACATTGTGAGGAAATCTCGGGCGGGAGCGGGGGCCCTGACTAAGTTGCGAGGAAGTCTCAAGCGGGAGCGCCGTTCCTGAGCAAATTGCACGGAAGTCTCAGGCGGGAGCGGGGGTCCTCACTAAATTGCGAGGAAGTCTCAGGCGGGAGCGCCGTTCCTGAGTCAATTGCGCGGAAATGTCAGGCAGGAGCGGGGGTCCTGAGTAAAATTCGAAGAAGTCTCAGGCGGGAGCGCCGTTCCCACGTAAATTGCACGGAAGTCTCAGGCGGGAGCGGGGGTCTTGATTACATTGCGGGAAGTCTCAGACGGGAGCGCCTTTCCTGAGTAAATTGCGCGGAAGTCTCAGGCGGGAGCGGGGGTCCTGAGTAAAAATCGAGGAAGTCTCAGGCGGGAGCCGTTGTTGTTGTAGCCCGGGGGGCAGGGGCACAGTTTGAGCAGGAAGACTTTCCTTGAGAAAAAACAAGGTGCGAGCCCCGGGGGTGGCACTTCAATCGAAAAAAATCAATGTGCACCGGTGGGGGGGGATCAACAATAATTATTCTTCAAGAATGAGAGTTCAACAACAACAACAACAACAACAACGCCACAACCACCACCGCCACCACCACCACCACCACAGCCCACCACCACCACCACCACCACCACCTCATAGAGGCCCCAAGAGACGACCAGGAGGCTTCACAACTGCTCTCCAGAAGCCCCCGAGAGCCGTCCGACAAAACCACAAGAGGCATCCATTAGGACTCTTTTGGACACCCGAAATGGGTACCGAAAGAATGGGTACAATGCCCAACAACAAATGTTGTCCCAAACCATCAGCGGCCGCTGTTGGGCAGGCGTCCTCCTGTCTCGAATGGACACAGGCCGCGGCGGCGTGGACAGCGGATCTTGTTCAAAATGAACAGGAACTGCTGTTGGGCATAGTACCCATTCATTCAGTACCCATTTCGGGCGTCCAGACTCTGACCCAAAACCAAGGCACGGTGGCGGAGCGTCGTCGTCGTCGCCGTCGTCCTCGTCGACGCTTCCCGCCGCCGGCGCCCGCCGCAGCAGGCGCCGGCGCCCGCCCAGAAGAGGAAGTCGTCTTCATCGACGCTCCTCGCCGCCGCCGCCAGCCGCCGCCGACGCCGGCGCCGGCCCGAACAGACAGGATGGGAGAGAGGAGACGTAGGGGACGAGGGGGCGGGGGGGTTCGAACCCCCCCCGCCGTCACTGGAGGGGAGGGGGGAGGGCGGGGTTCGAACCCCCCCCCTCCCCTCCATCCAGAGAGGTGTCCAGTTCCACCCCCCCCCCCGAGCGACCACAGAACGCGCTCTTTCAAATACATAAACACAAATCCCAGGATTCCTTTTATTGTCCCATATGTTTTGGGTTTCGTCTTCCCCCCACTTCCCATAATTTCCCATATTTTTCTGTGGGTCTGTGCTTAATCATGTCTGTGTGCTTTTCTCCCTCCTTTGCCATTTCGTCCCGAACAACTTTTGCCGGTCCCAGGGCCCAGCTGGGGCCCAGAGAGACCGACAACGGCAAAAAACATAGTCTGTATTGGTTTTGCTGCGTTGGATGTCAAAGATCCCCCACCACCGCCTTTCGCCCGACCCGACCGTTTCTCGCCCTTGCTCTGTTTCATCCCACTGCCCGATCTGCCCCCTGTTCCTGCGCCTGACCTTGCTCCTCGGCCGCCTCCCCGTCCGTCCTTCCTCTCCTGCTCCTCCACCTCCTACCGCAACCTCCTCCCAATCCGCCTCCTGCCCCACTCTCCCCCCTTTCGTCCGGCGATCCTCCCTGGCCGCTCTCGCGTCGGCCGCCTGGCTGGCGGCACTGCGGTCGGGGCCTCAGCTGGACCTCAGCGCACCGCGGGCGTGTTTCGCGGTGGCCCCACGGCGCCATGGGGGGCGAGGAGAAGCGACAGCAGCACCACCACCACCACCAAGGCGGATCCTCCTGGTGGTTTGGCCTCCATGCCCCGCTCGAGACGTCTCGAGACTCCAGCTCGGGGAGGCATCATGGACCTGCTCGCCGGAGGTGGCCCCCCTCTGGTGGTGATGGTGTCGACTCTCTTGCCTAGGACAGGGCGGGCGCGGCGGTGATTAATACATTTTTCTAATGTTTGGCGACAGCGTCCCCCGTCACCGCGGTCGCCCGGCCCCCCCTCACCCGTCTTCCCCCAGCCCTGCCGGGGGGGAGGGGCGGCGGTGGAGAACAAATGGTCTTACAGTTCCTGTCCCTAAATCCACCGTGCCGCGGGGCGCGAAGTGGAGTTCCATCCAGGTCCTCATGTGTCCTCTGTTCTCTGCACTCAAGACTCTGTGATTGTAGTATTCTTGGGGTTGGGGGCCCAAAGTCTGAAATGACCTGGGCGTTCCCGCGCGATCCCAGGCTGCCGCGCATGACTTTCCAGAGGCCAGAAGGCCCCAAAACGGGCCACGAGGGCCCCAGAAAGCGCCCAAGAGGTCCAACAGGCCTCCAAGGCAGCTCCAAAACGGCCCCAGAGGCCCCCAAAAAAACCCAAAGAACACTCTAAGAGGACCCCCATTAAGAGGGCCCACCGACGCAACAATCCTTTGTTATGTGTGCTTTTCGATATGTGTCGCGTTCTCGCGTTTTCGAGCTTCCAACGCTCCAAGATGGCCCCAGAGGCCCAACAAACCGCCCCAAGACGGCCCACAAGGCCCCCGAGGGGCCCCCCAAACGGCCCAACTCCCCACTTCTGCCCTCCCCCCCCTTGGTCGCGTCGCGCCGCGATTCGCGCTGCCTGGGTTTAGCTACGGGTGCCGAATTCCCAGACCGCAGGCGCAAATCGTGACGTCACTGGCCCTCTTCCCCCCCAATTAAGCCAGGGGATAAAACAACGGGCTCTAAGCGAAAGGGGCCCACAACCCCACAGGTTTAAGAATATCGAACATGAGCCTTTCCTGCGCGTGTCGCATCGACATGCCATTTTCGGGCCTCGGGACCGCTTATCAACAGCTTGGATTGCAAGGCTGGGCCTGTAGGGAAGTGGTCCTGAGGTCCAGATCCTAGAGAAGAGGCGCATACCATTCGCCCTGAAAACAACTGCGGCTGCGATGTGTGGTTTGCAACGTTTGGTTTCGAGGGGGCCCATGCGGGGCACCAAGGTCGTCAGAAAATGACTCGGGACATCGCGGAATGAACAGCTGGTCCCAGGACTCAGCGTCGCCGCGCAAAATCGTCGCCAGGACTGCTGGGAGGAGAAGGAGGCAGGAACAGGCTGGTTGGCGCTTCCTCGGCGCCGTCGAGGCGGGCGACGACGCCGGCGATGGAGCACCGAGGAGTTGGCTGGCTCTCGTCTCGCCGCGGGGTCTCGCCGCGCCGCGACGGCGGCAGCTGAGGAAAAGGATGGACTGGAGCCACTTCTCTCGGGCCGTGAGCCGCGGGCGCTGGCGGCGGCGGCTGGGGCGACGCGGCCCGGGGCGCTGCGCGGCCCAGCGTGGCCGCGAGCGCCGCGTCGCGGGCCTCCTGGGGCGCCTGGGCCTCCAGGCTGTTATCCTGCTGGCCCTCGTCGCAATGCGTCTTGCACGCCGTGATGCCGTCGCGTCGAGTGTAGCCGATGGCGCGGCAGTTGGCCCCGGCGCAGCCGCGTGCCGACGCGCGCCCTGGCAGCGGCCGGCAGTGGGCCGCGGGCTGGGCGCAAAGCGGGGCGCGCCCCTGCTGCGGCCCCACGGTTAGTGGGCCCACCCAGTCGTCGCCGGCGAGGGGCACGGAACTCTCCTCGAGCGCCGCGTCGCCGCGATGCACCCGCGGGCCCAGCAGCGCGACGCGGCCCGGCTCGGCGTTGCGCCAGCCCACCCTGTGGGCCATGCGCGGCGCGCCCTCGCCCTCGGTCTCCGACTGGCCGCGCCCCATGGGGGCCCTCCTCTGGTCTGCGGCGCGCTCCAGAGCCGCGGGCAACGGCGACAGAAGAAGCAACAGAGGTCCCCGGCGCCGTCAGGAGCCCGCGGACGCCGCGGGAGGTCCGCGCGCAGCACTATCCAGAGGGGGCTCGCTCTGCCAGGTCGCCGAGGTCGACGACCGCGTCTGCCGAAATCACCGCGTAGGACTACGAGCGCGCCATCAGCGGCTCGCGCCCTTGACGTGGGCCCGTCGTGCGGCAGAGGCGGGGCCTCATGGTGGAACTCCACTGCAGGTCCTCCCGCCGCGGCTGCCGCGTCGTGGCCCCGCGGATGCCGTCGTCATCCACGACCGGCCCACGCGCGTTCGCCCCCGCGTCGCCCCGTCTGAGCGGGGCGCGGGCGACCTGGCCATCGACTGAGGAGACCGCGCGGCGAGGGCTGCCTCCGCGGAGAGCCCCCTTCAGGACGCGGTAGACAATCGGCGGGGCATCCTTCGACGCGCCCAAGACAGCCTGAGAAGCCCCCGAGAAGACGCCGCCACATAGCCCCAAGACCGCCCAAGACAGCCCCAGATGGCCCCAGACGGCCCACGAGCGCCCCGAGAAGCCCCCGAGAGGCACCCGACAAGCCACCAAAGAAACTCCCCTCCACGCGCCCATGCGCTCACGATCCGGAGGCGCGCCCCGCGGAGCGCGAAGAACCGTGTCTCCCGCGACGCAGGTTCCCGGAACGCCCCCGAGAGGTCCACGACGCGGCGCAAACCAATGAATCGCACATTGAAGGCGCGAGCTCAGCGCCCCCCTCGCCTTCTCACATGCCATGAATGCAAGCAAGCGCTGCCGATGATCCTGGGAAACCCGAAGCAACGCCTGCTCTGCCTCATCCGCCGAAGAGTCAATGCTGCTCGCGGGCGGCCCGTCGCTGACTTGGCGCAACGCGAATGCCGTGATCAGCGACGAATAAGTGATGCCGTGCTGCGGCGCAATGCGCGAGCATCCGGCTCTGTAAATTTTCCACTTGTCACTCCTCTGCCACTGCTTCTCGATCAAGACCTCGCGCTGCGATTGCAGGGCTGCGCGCGCAGCGTCGACGCGCGCGTTGCGCCCGTCGACCGGTCTGCCCTCGGCGGCGCTGCTGTCGGCGATCATCTCGCGTTCGTCCTCTTCTACGTCTCGAAAACGCGTTGATAGCCACGCTGCAAAGCCCTCCAGAAATCGCCGGCATGCCCATTGCCCAGCGGGCCCAGCTGCCGCTGCTCTGTCTGCGTCACGCTGCTCGACAATATCAACTGCGCTGCCCCGCGACAGCCGGCGGCTTCCCCCGCCGCATCTAAAAGAGCGCCGCCGCCAGAGCCTTGAATCAGCCAGCCTCTCTGCGTCGGGCAGTCAACCTCCGAGCCCCTCTCGACGGCTTCGATGTCGAAGGCAACGACTCGTTTTTCCAGCCGTTGGTTCCGCGCCGCAGTTTTTCTATTAAACAAGTCTGCCAGGGCTGCCCATCGCGCGGCCGATGGCGCGACGCCCTCGCGGCTACTTCAGGCGCGCTCGGCATCGCCGACGCTGGGCGCGCCGTCCAGCTGGGGGGGCGCCCCCTCGAAGAGCGCCACCTCTGCCCTATGCCAGCGCCGCCGGGTGGGCGGGCACTGCTCGCTCGGATGGCCACGCGCGCGCAAGTGGCGTCGGTCTTCAGGAGGCCGAGCGTCGCGTTGCTGATGGCGTCATCTGGCGCCACGCGCGACGGCAACGCCCCTCGCCGCCTCGCTGATCCCCCCGATGGCACCGGCGGTGGAAATTGCGATGCGCCTCCGAAGCTCGGCGAGCTCATCGGGCCCGTGGAGACTGAGTGAATAAGTCTCGTTGATGTCATTCGCTGCCAGCGCTGCGCCCCTCGGCAAGCGCGAACCCTAGAAGCGAGTCGGAGCTCGGCGGGTTCTCGCGCAGCTCCTCGCCATGCAGCGCGACGGCGCGCATCTCGATAGCCCTGTTGGGCGCGCACAGCACCGCGCTGCAACCGAACATCGGAGCGTGGAACATCGCCGGCCTGTCTGCTGCCCGACTCATCATGCTTCCACGCAGGTGCGGTCATCGCCCAGTTGAACTGTTGAACTTAGATGTGCAGGCACCCCCCATGCCCGAGCTGTTCTGCTGATCCCCGTGGCGATGAGCACGCGCTGGGTGATATCGTTTTCATCGCTCGCGATCGCAACGCCGATTGAGGTCTGCTTGACGATTATTATGAGCAGGCACTTCTGGAAGTGGCTAAATCCCGCATTCGCATCGCGGAACCGCTCTCAGCAATGAAGGCAGCGTGGTTGAGAAGCAGCAGGCCATATAATCAGCAACGCGCTCGCGCCATCCAGTGCAATTGCAGCGCGCCTTCACCGAATCCGCGAGCTCACCTAACCCTTGCCCAGGCAACCGTGATGCGACCGAGGTCGAATCCAACAGTGCGTTGACCGCCCATGCATTGTCAGTCTCGGGCGAGCTGCCATACGCGCCATGCTGCATCACGAAGGCAATCGCCGCGCCATCCTCGAGCCTCGCGTAATGGTGGTTGCCAACTATCACCACGAGGCGTTTCCTGCGCGATGCGGCGAACTCGACCAGGGCACCACGGGAGGCTCGAATCCGGCGTTGGGCTGCGTCGCAGTCAGTTCGACAAGCAGCTGCTCAGCGCCCTCATTTCCCTCCATGGTGAGGGTGCGTGACGAACGCATGAATCTCGATCCCCCTGTTGGGCAGCTTCTCGGGCCAGCTTGGGGCTGTCTTGGGCTGCCTCGACACGCTGTTGGGCCGTCTTGGGGCCGTCTTGGCCCGTTTTGGAGCCGTCTTGAGGGCTCTTGGGCAGTCTTAAGGCGGTCTTGGGACCCTTTTCGGCTGTATCGGAGCATTGGAAGCTCGAAAACGCGACAAGGCGACCCCCCCCCAAGAAGAAGACAACGATTTTGCCTCTTCGGGTGCTCCTGGGACGCCTCTCGGAGTTTTCTTGGAGAGCCGTCGGAAGTCTGTCTTGGTCTGCTTGGGAACGTCTCGGTCCGTCCTTTCGCGTTTGGGGGGCTCCTTGGGGGCGTCTTCGGCCGTCCTGGGGCGATTTGGGGCCTCCCCGGGAGACAAGGCGCGGTACTGGGAGTTGCCCCCAAATGTTCCCGGGGTGTGGGGCGCTCCCGGGAGGGGGGGGGGCATTTGTGTATATATATATATATATATATATATATATATGTATATACATATACATATATATATATATATATATATATATATATGTATGTATGTATGTATGTCGTCGGCGTCGTCGGCGGCATAGTTATCGTCATCATCATCAGCGTCATCGCCGTCATCATCTCTGGTCCACTGCAGTCCCCTTACCCTCCTCCGCCTCTTCCCGTTCTCTCTCTTCCCATCATCTTACACTCATCATGTTCATCGTCGGCGCACCCCTGAAAAGGGATCCCTGTTCCTTCACCTGCTCCTCCTCTTCTTCCTCCTCCTTCTCCTCCTCCCTGTCTTCCCCTCTCTTCGGTGTGCCCTCTTCATCCTGCGCTCCCCTTCCCTCCTCGTCCTCAGCATCCCTACACGAGCCAGAGAATCAGAGAACAATATAATCTTACAAGAACAATGTGCCTCTGCCTCTTCCCCCTCCTCTCCTCCCTCTTCGTCCTCCTGATCTTCCTCACCCTCCTCCTCCTCCTCCTCCTCCTCCTCCTCCTCCTCCTCCTCCTCCTCTTGCTCCTCCTCTTGCTCCTTATTCTCCTCCTCCGCCTCTTCTTCCTCCTCCTCTCCCTCCTCCTCCTCCTCCTCCTCCTCCTCCCCCCCTCCTCCTCCTCCTCTCCTCCAGCTCTTCTTCCTCCTCCTCCTCCTCCTCCTCCTCCTCCTCCCTCCTCCTCCTCCTCTTGCTCCTCCCCCTCCTGGTCCTCCCCTCCTCCTCCTGGTCCTCCTCCTCCTCCTCCTCCTCCTGTTCCTTCTCCTCCTCCTCCTGGTCCTGTTCCTCCTCCTCCTCCTCCTCCTCCTCATCCTCCTCCTCCTGCTCTTCCTCCTCCTCCTCCTCCTCCTGCTCCTCCTCCTACTTCTTGTTCTCCTCCTCCTCTTCTCTTCTCTTCTCTTCTCTTCTCTTCTCTTCTCTTCTCTTCTCTTTTCTTCTCTCAACGCACCCAGTACACGGGTGCCTACTGGAACGCGTGCCGGGAGCTTTTTTGGAAGCAGTGTGGCAGTCTCTGGGAGCCTCTCCAGGCCTTCCTTTGGAGATCTTTGGGGCCTTTCTTGGCCCGTCTGAGGGCCCATTTCGGCCGTTCCGGGTCCCGCTTGGCTCGTCGTGGGGGGCTCAGCCCGTCTTGGGGCTCTCCTGGGGCCTCTCCGACCATGTAGGAATCCTCTGGTGGCCCCCTCGGGCTTCCTGGGGGCTCTCTTGGGCCGTTTTGTCGCTCTCTTTTGCCGCTTGGTGCTCTCTTCAGCCCGTCTTGGAACCCTGTTTGGGGCCTCTGGGGCCGTCTGGGACCCATTTTGGTAACCTCTTGGGCCGTCGCGACCGCCGGTAGAACTGAAACGCGAAGCTCCCAGAAACATGTGTTTAATAGGAAATGCATAATTTGTACCTTTGGAGGCCCTTCCCAGCGGCCTCTTGGACAGTCGTGGGGGGGTCATTTGGGGCCCTTTGTGGCTCGTCTGGGAGCCCATGTCGGCTGTCCCACGCTCCTCTTGGCATGTCATGGGTAGCTGAGCCGTCTTGGGCCCCTCATGGAGCCCTCTCCGACCATGTAGAGATCCTCCGGTGGCTGCCTCGGGCCCCCTGGGGACTCTCGGGATGTTTTGGAGCTCTCTTGTGCTGCTCGACGCTCTCTTGAGGCTGTCTTGGAGCCCTCTTGGGGGCCTCGTGGACCGTGTGGCGCCGATTTGGGGAGCCTTTGGGGCCGACGTGGCCGCGGATGGAACATAAGAAACGAATATCATAGAAATGTATGTTTTTCCATCGGAAATGCTAGTTTCTTGCACCCGGAGCCTTCTCAGCGGCCTCCTGGACCGTCTTCAGGGAGTCCTGGCAGGCCTTTTTTGGACCCTCTGGGAGCCCTGTTCGGCCGTTCCGGGTCCCGCTCCGCCCGCCATGGGGACCTCAGCCCGTCTTGAAGCCATCGGGGGGCCCTCTCCAACCATGTAGGGATCCTCCAATGGCCCCCTCAGGGTTCCTGGGGACTCTCTTGGGCAGTGTTGGAGCTCTCTTGTGCTGCTTGAAGCTCTCTTCAGGCCACCTGGGGGCCCTCTTGGGGGCCTCTTGGGCCGTCTGGGGCTCATTTTGGAAACATCTAGGGCAGTCCTGGCCGCTGGTAGGACTGAAAAACAAGTATCAAGGAAATCTCTGTTTTTCCATCGGAAATGGTTGATGTTTGCCCTTGGAGGGCCTTCTCGGCGGCCTCTTGGACCGTCTTGAGTGCCTTTGTGGCTGTCTAGGAGCAGTCTTGGGCTGTCTTCGAGCGCTCGTGGCCCGTCCAGAAGCCTTCCAGGTAACCTGGGGCGCTTTGGGCGCCTCTTGGGCCAGCTTGGGGGCCTCTGGGGGGTCCGGGGCCCCTTCTGAACCCTCTTGGAGGCCTCAAGGCCCCCCAGCGCCCCATACGAACCAGAGGCAGCAGCTCTGGGCTCTCCCCAGGACTACTCATATATACATGTGTACAAGTATGTAGACATACATACATACATACATACATACATACATACATACATACATACATACATACATACATACATACATACATACATACATATATACATACATACATACATGCATGCATGCATGCATGCATGCATGCATGCATGCATGCATACATACATACATACATACATACAGTACATGCATTACATACATTACATACATGCATACATGCATACATACATACATACATACATACGTACATACGTACATAAGTACATGCAGTCATGCATACATGCATATATGCATATATGCATACATGCATACATGCATACATGCATACATGCATACATGCATACATGCATACATGCATACATGCATACATGCATATATACCTACATGCATACACACGCATACATGTATACATACCTACATATACATACATGAATAGTCATACATACATACATATACATATACATATACATATACATATACATATACATATACATATACATATACATATACATATACATATACATATACATATATCTATGCATATACATATACATATACGTGTACATGTACATGTACATATACACATACATATACACATACATATACATGTACATAGACATATACACATACGTATACGTATACATATACATATACGTCTACATATACATACATATAGATATACATATACATATCTATATATACACATACACAAACATACAAACATGCACATGCATAAATGCATACATACATAAATACGTACATACATACACAAATACATACATACATACATACATACATGTATACATACATACATATATACATACATACATACATACATACATGCATACATACATACATACATACATACAGACATGCACACATGCACACATGCATACATGCATACATGCATACATGCATACATGCTTACATGTATACAGGCATACAAACATACAAACATATATGCATGCATACATACATACATACACACATACAGACAGCCATACAGACATACAAACATACAGACATACAGACACACAGTCATGCATGCATGCATGTATACATACATACATGCATACTCACATGCATGTGGCAAACTATGTTTAGGTCTTTCTCTAGGGCGGGGACGTCTTCGCCTCCTCGCTGCGCGTGTTGTTCCACCGGTCGTGCACGATGGAGGCGACCATGGAAAGCCCCAGGCAAGATAGGAGAATCAGGCAGACTATCCTGGGGAACATGGGGGGCATACCAGAGCTGCGATTCTGATCGCCCAAGTGGGAAGACAATCAACCATGCAAAGCGAATGGAAGGGTGGGGACCCTGAAGAGATACACGGTTGAAGACGATGGGGGATGGGGGGATGGGGAAAGGGGAAATGCAGGAGACCAAGAACGACGACGCGCAGGACGGAAAAAAAGGGTAGCGTGATAAGGACGAGATGAGGGCGGGGATGGGAGGAATACGGCAAGCTAGGCGCGCTCGCGCCAGATCTTCGGACATCCTACACCTCCCACCAACCCCTTCCCACGGCGCTGGTGTTTCTCTATCCGCGGACGCGTGTCGTAGCGGACCTGGATCTCCCGAACGAAAATCAATCAAGCTATGCGGAGTCGGAGGAGTTGGTGGATGAGTGGGAGGATGAGCAGGAGTACAAGGATGAGGACGAGGAAAGCGCGGGACGAGGACAAAAAGCAGCAGCTGCAACTGAAGCGGAAGGAGCGGGTTGCGCAGGTGCACCAGGAGAAGGTGGAGGAGGGGAAAGGAGAGGGGCGACAATGGTGAGGAAGGACTGGATAGGAAGTTGCCCACGCCGGGGCGAGAGCGCCGTTCTGAACGACGGGAGCAATGCCACGATGCTGAAATGAGGCTTACGCTGCAGCGGGAAAACCGTTTCGAAAGGGCCGAGAGCGATCGGATTGGAAAACTAAACGAGAACGTTCGGATTGGACAACCATTTCGACAAGACCGAGAGCGTTCGGATTGAAAAAACAAACGGGAACAACTAATTCAGCAACGTCGTGCGTAAAACAACAGTTCTCGGAGGGGGCGGGCGACTCCCTGGCTATCTTCGGGGCAGAGAGGTGACGAGTATTCAGAGTAGACTGGGTAAGTGTAGTGGCGCAGAGGCCTGGGAACTGGGAGGGACTGAAGAAGGATAGAGAGGACAAGGGGGATCAGAGCAACGATGACGAAGATGGCGAGGAGATGGAGGAATTTGGGATATAGACTTGTGGTCATACATGTTAAACATTATGTCGTGCGTCGGGCAGCTCGATGCACGGCTCCGAGACATGCAAACAAAACAAGTTCGAGCACATCTGGTAAACATTCATGCGATATTGCATGTTGTCGCCCGTGTGCCCTGATTGGTCATGAATGTCTGGCCGCGAGCTGCTACGCACAGGCGGCCATTTCAGAATGTGGATTCGGGAGACGATGCGGAGAAAGACAAAATACAAGAGGGAGGAGTGAATGGGGAGGAGGCTGCTGGCGGGACGGACAAGAAGAGCAGCATGACATTGTATGTCTGGGCTCCGCGGTACGGTGGCAGCGGCTGCTCGGGACGCGTGACAGGGATCCGCCTGCAGCGCACAAGGAGCGCATGCTCTCACATCGATCCAAAGTGGGCGATGATGAACCAGAGAGACACGCGGGACCAGGTCGGGGCACGGGACCTGGGGCTTAAGACTGGTCGGGGCAAACGAGTCCAAAACACCCACTTTGAACGCACGGCCTGCACGTATGCGGCCAGCACCAACGATGGCGCCCCCCAACCCCTACCCATGATGCTGTGATCTCTGCTGTCAGAGTTTATGCGGATCGGACGAAAAGAGAGAGCGTGATCCACTGCCGCTTTACTGCGGAAAATTCCCCTCTCGTCCTCCGGAACCCGGGATCCCCCCCCCCCCTCCGAAATTCCCCGGCCCCCCTGCTGGACCCCCCCCCCTTCCCCCCGGCACCCCCCCCCGTCCCTCGCCCCCCCCCTCCGGAAAACCGGGGGGGGTCACTACCGGTTCGAAACCCCCCCCGTCCCCGAAAACTGGGGGGGGGTCACTACCGGTTCGAACCCTTCCCCCCCCTCAGAAAACCAAAAGGGGGTCACTACCGGCTGGAACCTTTCCCCCCCCCCCTCCCCCGGAAAACCGGGGGGGGTCACTACCGGTTCGAACCCCCCCTTCTCTGGAAAACCAGAGGGGGACACTACCGGTTCGACCCCCCCCTCGAAAACTGGGGGGGGTCACTACCGGCTCGAACCCACCCACCCCGCCTCGAAAACCGGGGGGGGTCACTGCCAGTTCGAATCAACCCCCACCACACGCACTGCCAGCAAACGACTCCCGGGTCCCTACCACCGCCCGCACCACATCCCCCACTGCTGTCCCCACCACCACTGTCCTCACCACCACTGTCCCCACTGCTCCCGCCACCGTTCCCACTGTCCCCACCAGCAGTACCCCCACCACTGTCGCGCACTGTCCCCGCTGTCCCCACCACTGTTCCCACCACAGTTTCACTCTCCCCACTTTCTCCACGACCCCAACCACTGTCCTCACTGTCCCACTGTCCCACAATTCCCGCCGCTGTCCCACTGAGCTGTCCCACCCTTCCCACCACTGTCCCCACTGTCCCCGCCACTGTCCCCCCTTGTCCCATTATCCCACCGCCGTCCTCGCCACCGCCCTCACCACTGTCCCCACCACCACTGTACCCTGTACTGTCCCATTGTTCCCACCACATTCCCACTGTCCCCACACCACTGTCCCCACCACCACCGTCCCCACCACTGTCCCACTGTCCCAACTGTTCCCGCCATTGTCCCCGCTGTCCCCACCAGTGCCCCCACCAGTGTCTCACTGTCCCCACTGTCCCCACCACTGTTCCCACCACGATTCCACTCTCCCCACTTTCCCCACGGTCCCCACCACTGTCCCACTATCCCGACTGCACCTACCACTGTCCCACTGTCCCCGCCGCTGTCCCACTGAATGACCCCACCGTCCCCACCGTCCGCATCACTGTCCCACTGTCCCACTGTCCCCACCACTTCCCCCACTGTACTACTGTCCCACCACTGTCCTCGCCACCGCCTTCACCAGTGTCCCCACCACTACCGTCCCCAGCACTGTCCCACTGTCCCCACTACTGTCCCGCTGTCCCCTCACCTCTGTCCCCACCACCACCGTCCCCATTGTCCGCACCACTGTCCCGCTGTCCCCGCACCACTGTCCCCACACCCACCGTTCCCACCACTACCCCAGCATCCCCACAATTGTCTAACTGTCCCGAGGAGCGGGAATCGGTTGCCGGCGGCGAAGGGGGGGGGTTCGAACCGGTAGTGACCCCCCCATTTTCGAGGGGGGGGGTCCAACCGGTAGTGACCCCCCCCCCCCCGGTTTTCTTTGGGGGGGGGGGGTTCGAACCTGTAGTGACCCCCCACCCCTTTTCATGATGGACTGGGGGGGGAGGGGAGGGGTTCGAACCAGTAGTGACCCCCCCCCCCCAGTTTTCGAGGGGGGGAGGGGGGGAACGGGTTGGGACCCCCCAGTGACCCCCCCCCTGTTTTCCGCCAGCAGCGGTAGAACACGCTCTTTCCACGAAAGGAGAGGGAATAAAAGGGAGGGCCGTAAAACTAGAGGGCAGGAACTCCACCCCGATGATGACCACCCCGGCACGCGAAGCCGTTTAGTAAACGCGCCCAAAGAAGGACTCAAACCTAACAGGGCAGGGCTGAGTAATAAACGCCCCAGGCCGTTCAGTAAACGCCAATTGTCCGGTCGGTTTTTCCTCCCTTGAAAAAGGAGGTGTAGCGAATCAGCTCACGCAGTTGGCCTCCCCAGCATCTCCCGTCCTCGGGAGCGCATCTGCATCGAGGAACGTGCCCGGCGGTGGGGCCAAGACCGGCTGCATATGAAGCAGGTCTCGTACACTCCCCTTCCCTGACCCGGCGGCCACCGAGGGGGGGGAAAGAGAAGGCGGCGGGGTTTCTCAGAAGGCCTCCGGCCTTCTGACAGGTTTTCGGAGTCTTCGGGGAAGGCCCAAAAAATTGTTCAAAAGGCCGGGGGGACTTCTGAGCCTTCTGAAGCGGCCGGCCCCTCCCAACTTCCCTCCCAGGCTCGCCGCCGAAGATCTCGTACGCCCCCAATCCGTACCCCCCCTTCTCGTCTGACCCCGCTCTCGCCCCGCAAAGCACCGACGGCATCACGAATATCATCGCGCAGCACGGCCATGTAAATGCACCGCGCAGCCTCTGGCCGCCGCGCCGCGCTACATTCTGGATGTACCCCGCTGGCCGAACCTCGAAGGAAACAGCTCGCCGCCCTCCGCGGCGGCCTGCCAATAGAACGCCCGCCTGGAAAGATATCGGCCTCCTGAAAAGTACCCGTCGGTCGGGAAACGTCGGTAGAAACAGGAAGTAGGAAGGCGGATGAAGTAGCTTGGGTTCAGGCCCTCCCAGACAGTAACAGACAACAACAAGAGCATACATATTCTTAATTGGGAAAGCGCGTAAAGTAGATAGGGATATGGGACTCCAGGAAACCCACCTTCAGCGACTAGCGTTTACACGCAGCCTCCAGTCGCAGGCACTCCTCCGCTCCATGCGAGGACGTCAATGGAAGGAGAAAGCGCGCCAGCAAGGCCCGAGCAAAGGGGGGGTCCCCCCTCAGCTACCCGAAGCGGGTCTTTAGAGCCCCCCGAATAGTGGAACGGAATTGTATTTTTTTTCGGCGACCCCATTGACCGACTAGGTCCCCACCGATAAGGGAAATATTTTTTTCCGCGGCACTAGCTGCTCAACAGCGACGACGGCGACGACTACGACTACGACTACGACTGCGATTCAAACTACGATTGCGACTACAACCGCGATCACGCTTACGATTCCAATCGCGACTCCAGTCACGGATGCAAGCACAATTAGGAGCACGGCGACTATCACGACTACAACTACATCCGCTGATTCCTACTGCGCTCACGTGTAAGGAGGCCCACAATTGGTTACTCCCTGGGAAAAGCCCGAACATCATCCACCCCACCCAACGATAGAAGGAAAACAATCTCCGCCGCGACGACGGCGATTGCGATTCTGAATGCGATTACTGCTACAACCGCGACTACGAATACGATTGCAACCGAGACTACAAGATCCGCTTCCGCGCGCACGCGCTCAAGCCAATGAGCTGCTGCGTTTCGGCGTTCTGAAACCCAATCGCGCAGCTTCAGGCTCGCCAGGCGTTGTTCAGCAACTCTCGTTGCCCCCATTAGCCCAATCTTGCCACGTCTCCAAATTTGGACCACTGTGAAATTTAGATGTAGAAGATGCGTGTGCTGATGCAGAGGCGAACGAAGAGCTGGGCGAATCTGCAATGCGTGAACTTGAATGAACAGCACTCCTGCTACCATCACGTGGCTGCCCTGTACAGCATCGTTGTGGACACGGTGCGGTCGAACAGACGGAAGCGCGAACTTCAGGGGTATCTGCGAGTTGGCAACTCATCACGTTGTAACATAACACGCTTCCAAGCCATATGGATCCTGTGATCAATATACACATCGTGTGGGCGCTCAGCACTCACCTGCCGCCCCAAGTGTTTCATCTTCCCGCGGAAAGGCACGATCTCAATCTCACGACCATCCACGACGGCGTGCGCATACGGCCGGCCCCCCGCGTCGTGCTGCTCAGAATCTTCGTGTTCTCTGGATGCAATGCCAATCCCACCTCAGCCTCCGCTCTCCTGACCTCAGCCGGCATGGCTCCGGGGAAGCAGAACGCGCTGCTGGCCTCGGAGGACTGCAGGCCGAGGCCACCGCTGCCAGAGAGCCACGGAGAGCGCCGCTGCTGGCACTCCTCCTCGCCGCAACCGGCTCCGATGCAAAGGGGAGGAACGCCGGCCCGCTGGGCCGCCAAAACCACGGTCTTCTCAACCCTGGAAGGGGCATCCGCTCTTTCTGGTGCCTGCCCTCGCTGGCAGGCGAGGCTCCCCCTCCCAAACAGAGAGCACGGTGGCGATCTTCTGCCCCCCCTGCAGGTGCCGCCGCGCCGCTCCGCGCGGGGCGCGCCCGCCTTGTCAATCTGGAGCTCCCCGTCGGCGCTCTGGGCTCCAGGAGCTCACCGTCCAGCCACCACCGCGCACCCCCCTTCGGCTCACGCGCACCACGCGGGCGCCGGCCCCAACCACCGCAGGAAGCGCTCCTCCTCAGGAGGGGGCGCCGGCAGCCAGGCGCGGGCCCCCGCATGAGCCCACCGCAAGCTGGCCGAATGCGTTGCCCCCCCGAGTCGGGCGCAAGAGAACGACGGCCGGGTGCCCGCGCGGGCGTCCGACCCCATCGAAAGGGGGCATAGCAAAAGGGTCGACGACACGCAAGAGTGACCCTGGCTAAGAGTGAGCTTTGGCGCGCAGCTTTTTGGGGCCGCGGGGGGACCAACCAACAGCGCGAAAGACACTACTGCAGCATCGTGTTCGGCGATCGGGGGGCCCCTTTGGGCCCGCACCGCAGGCCACTCTGGCGAAAGGTCAATCTTGCGTGTAGTCGAAACAGAAGTTCGCGAGTCAGCTCACGCAGCTGGGTCCCCCGGCGTCCCCGCGCATCGAGGAATGCGCCCGGCGGCGGGGCCGCAACCAGCTGCACGCAGCAGATTCCATACCCAGCCCCCCCCCCTCCCCAACATGTCCCGAAACGGTGCGGTGACAGACCGTACGGTGACCTCGAAATCCCGCAAGACCTCACCGCAAGGTCCGTCACCGCACGGTCTTGGGACCCTGGAGGCCCCAGTCGCCCGAGTCCTCGGAGACCGGCCCGAGTCCCAAAACCGTGCGGTGACCCCGCATGCCAACCGACTCACCGCACGGTGTGGTCACCGCACCGTTTGGGGGTCCCCGACAATCCCCCACCTCCCCTTCGTCCGACCCTCCGACCCGGGACGCCGCCGCCAAATCGCAGCGTCGCCCCACGACGCCGCTGCCGGGGCAGAACTGTGGGGGGCGCCCGCCCGCCCAGAAAAGCGCCGCCCCGACGTCGCCCCATGCTGCTCCCGTAGTCCATAGCTTGTTACTCGGGCGGCGCCCCGCTTCGGGGTGACCGCGGTCACACGCGCCTATCTGAAGAGAGCGCGTGGATGCAAGCGACACTCGGGCCAGATGGGCTGATGCAGGGCGGAGAGGTGGACATGAACGGGCCACGGGGGAGCAGCGCAGCGGACCCGGGAAGCGGAGGGGACTCGGGATCCCGACCGCCCCGAACTTCCACGGCCAGGCTGAGGGCCCAGCTTCGGCAGCGGCGCTGACGGCAGGAGCGGTGGGAGGAGGGCGGAAGGAGGAGGAGGAGGAAGAGGAGGAAGAGGAGGAGGAGGAGGAGGAGGAGGAGGAGGAGGTTTGGGATGATGATGATGGCGAGGAGTAAACTGAGTACAAGCACGACGGCGAAGGCGACGGCCACGGTGACGACGGCGGTAGCAATGACGAGTAGCAGTAGCGGCGGCGGCCGAGACACTGGCCGAGAGACTAGCAGCCGACCATGGTCCCTGGTGGCACGTGCCAGACGCGGGACAGCATCAGCTTGACCCCGATAAAGATGAGCACGCCTCGCGCCCAAGGGCAGGGAGAAACACGGCGCCACTGTTATGGGTAGGAGGCGGATTACCTTCCAGACCTCGACGACTTCGCCGTGAACGTTCGTCGAGGTCTGGAAGGTCGTCGGTGGTACTGGCAAATCGGGATATGTAGAAGGTCTCAGAGGGAAGGAAGTCGCAGAGGCAACCCAGCATGCGCCAAGGAGACTCCAACTCTTCAAAGGATTGCCACGGCCCCGGCAGTGGCACATGAAAGTGGGGGGGGCGGGGTGCGTCGGCAGTTTGCGAGACTCGATGGCAGATGACAAGAAGCACGACGCAGGCGCCGGCTTATTTCAAACGGTGTATGTTGGTCGCGGACGGGTCGCTCGCAGATCGGTGGACGATTCGCCCGACGGATCGCGGATGGAGCGCGGGTGGGTCACGGCGCATGTCGTGGATGGGGCACGGGGCGGGTCGCGCGAGGATCGCGGGTGGGTCGCGGGCGGATCGCGGTGCGGGAAGATCGCGGGAGGATCGCGGGTGGGGCGGAGGCGGCGCTGGCAACAGGAAGAACAGTCATAATGGCATCGATCCGCACCGCGAAATCTGTCTTCAACCACGCACCTAAGATCAGTGTAAGCTCGCTCGGCCACCTCTCATTGCTGCGGTGGCCCGCTGGACAGGTGATGGGCTCATGGGTCTACAGATTGACCGCCCTGTGCTGGGAACGCGCACCACTATCATTTTGAGATCCGACGGTGTAGCATTACAACCCGCTATGGTGTGATACTGATTCGCCCTCAATCCTTGTAGCTAGTGAGATATGTAGGCATCGAGTTGTACTCGGTATTCGAAGCGAGACTTCAAACTTTAGACCCCCAATACGCAAAGAAGAGATGAGCGGTAGTTCAATGTTAGAACAAGTCCGAGCGTAAAACATCTAAATGTGGGAAGTGCACGGAAACTAAACGAGTCTTCAAACTTCAAACCACTCTATTATGTGAGGTAGGGATCGACGACCGTTCGATGCTGACAACAAGCCCCCTCCATCCTTATCTGTCGACCTCCGCTTGCTGGGGGCGAAAGGGCGTGTGGGATGATTGGCTGTCCCCCTTCCCCCTTCCCCTTTCCCCTTTTCCCCCCCCCTGGGGTTAAACATCGCATTCGAGGGGGGGGGCAGGGGGGGTCTACGAGCTCCCTGGCGAGTCTTCTGGAGCCAGAACGCCCCAGGACAAGCCCACTAGAGCTCCAAGGCAGCCCAAGAGAGCGTCTACACGGCCCAGGGTAGCCCCCCGACGGTCCAATCTAGCTTCCAGACGGTTCCTGAGCCGATGAGACAGCCCACGAAAGCTCCCAGAGGACAGCCGAGAAGGCCCCGAAGGCAAAAAGTCATCCCATTCCCGTCGCGCTGTGGGAGCTCCAGGATCCCGATATACGACGCATCGCCGCAAGCAGCAGGCGTCGTCGCCTGCGCCTTTGAAACAACAATGAGAACGCACACGAACGCGGCTGCAACCCGCTGGAACGGCGCCGTCTTCAATCATGCAGGATCTTGGCGAGGCCGAGCTCGCCCGCACACTGTGCGCCCTCGCTCCTGCACCGCTCCGTGCGGGCGCCGAAGTGCAGAGAAAGAGAGACCGGGTCCGCCAGTGGCCCCCAGAGCCCGCGAAAACGACGACACGGGCGCACTTCGTAGCCGCCCAGTGAGCCGCGAGGTCTCGGCTGGGTCCGCATTTGCCTCCGCTCCTTTGGACCCCCCAGGAGCCCGCGAAAGCGGTGACAATTTCGCCCTTCGCAGCCCCCCAGGGAGCCGCATGATCTTGGCTGGATCCGCGTGCACCTCCGCGCCGCAGGACGGCGACGGTAACGCACTTCAGCTGGGCCTGCATACAACTCCACTTCGCTCGACCTCCCGGGAGCCAACAAAAGTGCGATGGTGGCGCACTTCGCAAACCCCCAAGGAGCCGCGAGGTCTCGGCTGCGTCTGCGTACAACTCCACTCCGCGGGACCCCCCAGGAGCCAAAGAAAACTGCGAGAATGCCCTCTAAGGGAGGGATCCGCGAGGTCTCGGCTCGATTTGCGTACAACTCCACTCCGCGGGACCTCCCGGGAGCCCGCGAAAAAGGCGGCAATGACGCACTTCGAGGCCACTCAAGGAGCCGCGAGGTCTCGGCTTGGTCTGCGTACAACTCCACTCCGCGGGACCTCTCAGGAGCCCGCGAGAAAGGCGACAATGGCGCACTTCGCAACCCATCAGGGAGCTGCGAGGTCTCGGCTGCGTCTGCGTACAACTCCACTCCGCGGGACCTCCTGGGAGCCCATGGAAGCGGCGATGGTGGCGCCATTCGCAGCCCCCCCAGGGAGCCGCGAGGTCTCGGCTGTGTCTGCGTACAGCTCCACTGCGCGGTCCCTCCTGGGAACCCACGAAAGTGGCGACTGTGCGCACTTCGCAGCACCCAGGAGGAGGAGGAGGAGGAGGAGGAGGAGGAGGAGGAGGAGGAGGGAGGAGGAGGAGGAGGAGGAGGACGAGGAGGAACAGGAGAAGGAGGAAGAGGAAGAGGAGGAGGAAGAGGAGGGAGGCAGGAGGCAGGAGGAGGAGGAGGCAGGAAGCAGGAGAAGAAGGTGGAGACCACAGTGCTGTATTCAAATCGAGAACCGAACACAGGAGAGTTGGGAAACATAAGAACCTACCCAAACATACAAATTCGAAAATCCGCCCAGACTTCTTGGACCTGCGCTGCCTCTGGCGCCGACCTTGGCGCGCGAAGCGCGCCGGGGGGTGGGAACCAGCATCGATCCACGAAATCGTCGCAGACCTCCGAACATTTATGCTTGAGAAGTTGTCCTTCCCCCCCCCCCATTCGCCGAGTGCCTGCCACGCCGAACTTCAGCAGCGAGAAAAGCTGCGCCAGGAGATCGATGATAAAAAAGGTGGCGCGCAACCCGAGCATGGCAAAGACCGCGGACGTGTACGCCAGGAATAAATCGTTCACCTCCCACCGAAGGACAACGAACATGAGGGATGGGGGAGGAGGGATGGGGAAAGGAAGATGGAACAAAAATGAAGCGGGGCAGGGGAGGAGTGAGAGGTTGAAGGAGAGACGGGGGAGTGGGAGGCAAGGGGTGGCTAGGGGGGCGGGGCCTCAGAATCACGTGCTGTGTTTTTCTGGGGTGGGCAAGGACGTATAAACATGCTGCAGAGTTGCGCCCCCAGGTCACACGTTGTCGTAAATTACTCCAGGATCGCGCTGCGGATGCCACAATTCTTGTGCTTCCGAGGCCAATTCAAATTGCAACATATTCGGGTCCCTGCGGCCACATTCCTGTGTAAATGACGACGTACTTGTATCCCAGAGGCCGCAATCGTTCATGACGCGCACCGAATTCGCGCTCACGACGCCAGTTCTTGGTAAAGTTGGAAGAAGTTATCCCGAAGTCACAACCCCGTCCAAATTGAAGCAACGTTGCTTCCCCAAGGCTAATGCATAACATTAACGAGTCTTTCATGCTGCCCGCTCCCCCTAAGCTGTCGGCTGGCAATGAAACTCGTCCTTCCCCTCCTCCTCCTCCTCCTCCTCCTCCTCCTCCTCCTTCTCCTTCTCCTCCTCCTCCTACTCCCCATCATCATCATCATCATCATCATCATCATCATCATCAGCATCATCATCATTCTCATCATCATCATCATCATCATCATCATCATCACCATCACCATCACCATCACCATCACCATCACCATCACCATCACCATCACCATCACCATCCTCATCATCGTCATCATCATGATCATGATGATCATCATCATCATCAGCATCATCACCATTATCATCATCATCAGCATCATCATCAGAATCATCATCATCATCATCAACATCATCATCATCATCATCATCATCATCATCATCATCAACATCATCGACATCATCGACATCATCAAGGATACCCATCATCATTTCATCCCCCTCCCCGATCATTAGCGGTGGCCGCCGCGGGCCAATAGCTGTTTCCCAATAGTGTTGTGTCGGGGTCCCAAGTCGCCAATAAACCCGCGCAGAAGATAATCATGAGAGAGGGCGCCCGTGGTGCACTCCCAAAAGGGGGGGATCCACCCTTAACTACCCCCCGCCAGGGACTGCCCTGCCGGAAGCCCCCCCCCCCTGGCCTCGATTTTCCCCGCCGCCGCGGAAGCTCCCCCCCCCCTTTCCTTGCGCGCTCCGGAAACAACCCCCTGGGGGCTTAGCTGCCGCCCCCCTTGGACCTCCCCTGCCAGAACCCCCCCGCCCCCCCTCTCCGTTCTTTTTTGTTCCGCCACTCGGAAGCTATCCCCCCTCCGCCCCTTTCGCGCTCTGGAAGACACCCCCCTGAGGGCCCCCCTCCCTTTCCAAAGGGGGGGGGGCTTAACTACCCCCCCTTCCTTGGAACCTCCCCTACCGGACACCCCCCCCCCTCTTTTGAGCTAAGGGGGGGGGGCTTGGAAGCCCTCCCCCCTTGGCTAAAGGAAGAGCGCCGAAGACAAAAAGAGCGCCGAAAACCAACGGAGCGCCCAAAACCAAACGGCGCCGAAAACAAAAGAAACGCCGAAAATCCAAAGGGCACCGAAAACCAAAACGGCGCCGAAAACCAAAGATGTGCAGAAAACCAGAGAGGCGCCGAAAACCAAAGGAGCGGCAAAAACAAACCATGCGCTGAAAGCAAAAAACACCGAAGAACCAAAGACGCGCCGATAACCAAGAGGGCGTCGAAAACCAAAGGGCGCCAAAAACGAAAGGGGCGCAGATAGCCGAAGGGCGCAGAAAACTAAAGGGGCGCCGAAAACCAAAGGAGCGTCGAAAACCAAACGGCGCCGAAAACTAAACGGGCGCCGGAAACCAAAGGGGCGCCGAAAAACAAAAGAAGCGCCGAAAAAACAAAATACCAAAGGAGCGCCTCGACCCAAGAGAGCGCCGAGAACCAACGATGCGCTGAAAATCTTAAAGGGCACGCGCCGAAAAGCAAGAGGGCACAGAAAACCCCAAGGCGCCGAACACCTAACGAACGCCGAAAACCAAAAAGGCACAGAAAACAAAAATAGGTTTAGAAAACCACCGGGGCGCCGAAAACCATAGAGACACCGAAAACCGAAAGAGCGCCGAAAACCAAAACAGCGCCGAAGACCAGAAGGGCGCCGAAAACCATAAAGCACCGAAATCCAAAGGGCGCCAAAAACCAAAAGAGAGCCGAACTTGAAGGACGCCAAAAGATCGCCAAACACCAAAAAGGCACCAAAAACCAAAACACGGCCAGACACCAAAGGAGCACCGAAAACCAAAGGGTACCGAAGACCAAAACGTCGCCGAAAAACCAAAAGAGCGTCGAAAACCACATGAGCGACGAAAACCAAAGCAGCGCCGAAAGCCAAAGATGCGCCGAAAACCAGAAGGGCGCCGAGAACCAAAGGAGCGTGAAAACCGAAAGGGCGACAAAAGGAGCGCCAAAAACCAAGGGGGCGCAGAAAACCAAAAGGAGGACGAAAACCAACAAAGCGCCAAACGCAAAAAGGTGTGCCGAAAACCAAAAGGGCGTCGAAACCCAAAAGGACAGAAGGACACCGAAAACCAAGGGAGCACCGAAAACCAAGAGGGCGCCGAAAACAAAAAGGGTCGCCGAACACCCAAGAGAGTGCCGAAAACCGAGAGAACTGCAGAACACCCACGGGGCGCCGAAAACCAACGATGCGCCGAAAACCAAAAAGGGCACCAAAAGACCAACGTGGCGCCGATAACCACAAGGGCGCCAAAAACGAAAGTGGCGCCGAAAACAAATGAAGCTCCGAAGGCGGACAGGGCGCCGAAAACGAAAAGGGCGCCGAAAACCAAAGGGGCGCTAAGAACCGCAGGAACGCCGGACACCTGAGGGGCGTCGAAAACCAGAGAGGCGCCGAAAACCAAAAGAGCGGCAAAAACAAACCACGCGCTGAAAGCCAACAGGACGCCGGAAAACCAAAGACGCGCCGATAACCAAGAGGGCGTCGAAAACCAAAAGGCGCCAAAAACGAAAGGGGCGCAGATAGCCGAAGGGCGCAGAAAACTAAAGGGGCACCGAAAATCAAAGGAGCGTTGAAAACCAAACTTCGCCGAAAACTAAACGGGCGCCGGAAACCAAAGGGGCGCCGAAAAACCAAAGAAGCGCCGAAAAAACAAATACCAAATGAGCGCCTCAACCCAAGAGAACGCCGAGAACCAACGATGCGCTGAAAATCTTAAAGGGCACGTGGAAAACCACAAAGGGCGTCGAAAACCACATGAACTCCGAAAACCACATGAGCGCCGAAAATCAAAGAAGCGCCGAAAACCAAAGGAACACCGAAAACCAAGAAAGCGCCAAAGGCCCAAAACGCGCCAAAAACCAGAAGCGCCAAAAACCAAAGAACCGCCGAAAACCAAAGAGACATTGAAAACCACAGATACGCCACAAACCAACGGGGCGCCGAAAATCAAACAAGAGAAGTGGCTTCGAACCCCCCTTTGATCCAAGGCGTTCCAGCAGGAGAAGCCAACAGAAGGAGGGGAGGGGGGGGTAGCTTCGGAAGCCCACCCCCCTTGGAAAGGGGAGCCCGGGCTTACCCCAGGCCCCAAAAAGGAAGGGGGATTGCTTCCAAGCACCCCCCGTTTTACCGAGGGACCTCCCAGCTACAGCATCCAAACAAAGAGAAGGGGGGGGAGCTTCGGAACCCCCCTTCCTTTGGAAGGGGAGCCCGGGCTGACCCCGGGCCCCGAAAAGGGGGGAAGGGGGAGCTAGCTTCCAAGCCGCCCCCCCCCCCTAGCTAGGGCAACCCAGCTAAAAGAACGAAATACTGCCCACACAAGGAGGCAGGGGGGGGTAGCTTCGGACCCGCCCTTTTTCCAAGAAAAGTGGAGGGGGGGGAGCTTGAAGCTGGGACCCCACCCCTTCTGGTGAGAAGTGCGCCACGAGCGCGCTCTGTCATAAATCATGTTCCTCGTATTTCCTGGGGGTATAAAACACGTTTTGAAACGAAAGCGCGCCGTCTTCGCCCCCCGAGGCCACAGCCCAGCGTGCAACCCTACAAGTTCGCACTCCCGAGGCCGCGAACCCGCCCCACTCGGGCTGCCCAGCCGCCCCCTCCCTGGAGCACAAGAACAAGAGCTGTCGGGATAGATGTTCGGAGGCGCTGTTCGCCCCTCCCCCGTCGCTTCCTGCAAATTCGGTTCTGGGCCCGAGCCCACAAATCCTCGACAAGAGCTGGGGGTGCGCGCTCCCGAAGACGCGAACCATCGTGATCTACAATGGAAGCGCCCCCCGAGGCCACCATCACGAAGTGCAAGACACTAGCGTTTCCGAGGAAACAGCCCCTTGCAACTCACGGCGCATTGGCGCTCCCGAAGCCGCAACCCTCCCCGAGGCCACGACCCCCTGCAAATTACAAAAGCCCGCGCCCCTCAGGCTGCAATCGCCAGTACATCACGTCACCGCTGCGCCCACGGAGCCGTGATCCATGGTAAAGTATTGCGCGTCGCGTTCCCGATGCCACAGCACCTCCCTACATCACGACGCACTCACGTTCCCGAGGCCACGACTTCTTACAACATGCTCGGGCTCCCGAAACCACAACCCAACCAACCGAGCTGACAGCCGGCCAGCCGACAAGCAAACCAACCAGCACACCGATCAAGCGTGTCCACGCAAGCGATCTGCGGAGGGGGCCGGCGGCAAAGGGCGAAACCTTTCAGACTGCACCGTGCAACGCGCTCCTTAAAAACAACGCCGCATGAAAGCACACACAAATAGTGGCGATTCCCCAAAAAACCCTGAACCCAAACATGTGTCCAACTCTTGGGGCGCACTTTTTACTTCTTCTGCCACCTTGCGCCGCCCTTCCTTTTTTCACAGCACTGCGCCAAAGTTCGCTCAATCGGACGCTTTGTGAGGGGCCAAATGAAACCCACCGGGTTCGGCGCATCTAAAAACTTGTATTTTAGACGAGGGGCCCTGGACAGGGACGCGCGGGAAGATCGGGGAGCCAGGGCCCCGCACCCACGCGCCCCCGCCTCTGCGGAGGCCGCACAGCGGGCTCGGCGGCGGCGGCGGCAAGCGGAGCCTCAGGGAATACCCACAATCTCATTGGCACGCACGGTCCGCCCACGAACACAAACACGATAATGAGGCAAATCCTGGGCTCCACACCCACGTTGCACACCAACGTCAGAAATATGAGATAGATATATGCGTTCAGAACCAACAAAAATGCACAAGCCTACCAAGCTATCATCCTCCCGCCGCTGACCTCTGTCGTTCAAAGATGGCCACTAAGGTGAGGCTCGAGGGCGCCTGGGCCCCACGGGCTCCACGGGCTCTGGGGCGAAGCTCGATTACTTCCTGGACTTCTGTTTGCCTGCGGGCTTCGTTTTGCCATCGTCCCCGAGGGCTAGCTGCTCGATCTGCTTTGCGACCATTGACTTCGGGCCGTGATCGCGACCGCGCTGGGTCGCCACGGACTCCGTGCCTCGATTGAAGCGCAGCCCGTTCAAGGCAGTCCCCAGGTCGGGGGGATGGTTGCACGCGAAGGTCCAACGTACCAGATCCTCGCCCTCGGTGGTGAGCTTGATATTGAAGCATCTGGTGGCCTTCACGATCGTGTCTGGATCTTGAACGAGCTGGCCCCACCTCTCGAAGACTCCGACGGCCTCGGCGGCAGCCTGTGGGCGGGGTCCCTGATCGATTGCCCTCATCAGCTTCTCGCGATTGGCGGCGGCGGCCTCTGAGATCCGAAAGGCGGCCATCTTCAGAAGGCCCTTGAAGTCGTCGCCCTCTCGAGCGGTCTTGCCCACTCGCGCGCGCCCCTGCAAGCCTGTCTCCAGCGCCACCTCGAGCTTCTGGCCCTCCTTCAAGGTCAGCGTCAGGTTGTCGTCGCACGCCGCGGCCTGGCGGGGGCCTCGTGCTGGAGCTGCAGGCGGCGCGTCGTCAAGTACTGGAGCTTGCCATTGGAGGCCGTCTCCTTATATTCGTTGGCTCGTCCCTCGGGAGGCCCCTCCGCACTGCGCTTCACGCCGTTGGACATCTCCGCGATCGGGGCGGACATGCGCGGCTGGCGGAGGCGGCGGAGCCGGCGGGCCTGGATGGTCAGGAGCTGCCGTCTCTGGAACTTGAGCCTCGCACGCCTGAGGTCCACGACACCGGTTCTTCTGAATATGACGAACAAGCGCATCCATTCGGCTGAAGGAAGTAGAGCATCTGGGGCACCTCAGGGATCTCCGTTGGTCATCTGTGAGGTCCGCGGGGTTGGCGCACTTCTTGTGGACCGAAAACATGCGATTAACCAAACCTTTGGGGCCGTGACACATGCGGGGGCAGACTGGGCACTTGATCATCACCTCTGGGGCAGGAGCCACGCCCGCGGCTATCTTCGCTTCATCCTCAGTCCTATACCATCGCACTCGCCGAAGATGAGGTCGGGGAACCTGACATAACCATCGAAGCCACTGGCGGGTCGGAGCGGGTTCGGGGTCTCCCAGAGCATGGGCATCGCGGGCATCTTGTTGGGCCTCGGGGTCCATGGTCTGCCAGAGCTGCCTCAAGTCCTCACGTAGGAGTCCCAGGAGAGAGTTGGCTTCTTTATGACGGGGGCCCTCGAAGTTGAATCTGCCAAACACTACAGCCCGAACCAGACGAGAGGGATCGCACTTGGGGTCGTCATCTTCGCCATCGCCATTCACGGGCTTTTTCTTCATGAGGTCGGGGAAGGCAGGTCGAACAACACCTGTCCACCAGACAAGCCGTCTTTCAAGCAGGGTGGAGGCTACCGTCGCCACACGCGTGAGTCTTGTGACATACACGCTACTGACATGATGAACATGAGCGGGAGCACGGGCAACATAACGAAGCTTACGGGTCTGCCAGCGCTCAACCCTGTTGAGGTCGCGTTTAGTCATGGCAGCAACCTCGAGGCCATAGGAGTGTCGATCGAACTAGCGAGCACCACAGTCGGACCCGAAGCTGAACGCTAAAGTGGCTTTTAAAAGCTCGACGGGCTAGGCGGGCATGTGCGGCGCTACCACCCTGAATCCTATGATATACCTCCTCCACCATTGAACCATCGTCACGCTGCTTAGCTCCAAGATATTTTACGCATGCTGTAGCATGTACTGGTGCGGCGTGCATCTTAATGTTCGTTTGCCTAACTCTAATATTAGTATTGCGCTGCTTGCTCTTGGTGCCCGTCACCACGATTAGCAGCTCGGTCTTAGCGTCGTTCACTTGCATCTTGCCCTTAGAGATTTCGGAATGCAGGAAAGCGAGGAATCGAGAGGCCGTCTCCAAGTTTTCGGCGATGGTGAAGGCGATCAGGTCATCCACGAACTTAATCGGCGAGACTACCATTCTCTCCTCCCCTTCATCTCCCACGAGGCTATGCTGACGCCTAATCATTGTTTTCAGATCAGGGTCAAAGGTGACGTATACTTCTGGGAACTCTGAATCTGAGCAGCTGCTCTCGAGGGCTGACGTGAGAGGGCCGTGCACTGCAACAAACAACAGCGGGCCCTCGACGCAGCCCTGGCGGTCCTGATGTCACGGGCGATGTAGCACGTGCCCTCGTGGAGCTCCTCGACTGCGAGTCTGGCGCTGCGTTTGACGGCGAGCGCCTCGAGCGCGGCCCAAATCTCATCGCGATCCATCAGGTCACACGCCTTCTCGAGGTCAATCAGGACGGCCAGGGGCACGCCAGGCGTCGTGCCAGAACCAAGCCGAGACCTGCGCCCATGCAGACGATACCGTCGGATAACTTCAGCTACGACGGCAAGGGCATCTCGAGTAGACCTACCCGCCACAGACCCGGACTGCGAAAACGATAAGCGAGGCGCCAGTCCTCGGAGTTCGGGCATGACCGTAACATTCATGTAGACCTTGCCAATGTGGTTGATCAGGTTGATCGTTCTGTAGTGGTCTTTGGCGCACTTGCCGTCGCCCTTCTGCTTCCTGAGGGAGACCGTTTCGCCGCCCTTGGAGCGCTGGGCAGAGTGGCCGAGGGCCCGGCAGGCATGGAACACGTTCTGCAGAGCTGGGGCTGTTTCGGTAACGCACAACTTCCAAATCTCAATGACGGATCCATCAGAGGGCTGGTCGACGTAGCGATCGGTGGTGGGCTCGAGGGCGGGCTCCAGGTCTCTCATCGCGGGCATCTTGAGGACGGGGGCGCTCTTGTAGTTCGGCATGTTGCGGATGGCCTCCGTTATGCCATCGATGCCGCAAGTGCCAATGCGATTGTCATCTCTCGGTAGGAGGCATGGGGGTCCACCTAAGCTGTTCATGTCAATGACTGTGCCATCAAAACTGGTGCTCAACGCTCGGGCTCTCACCTCAACCTCCTCCTCTGCGTCCTGGCAGGCCCCTCCGGTTGCGGGGTTGTGGGCCGCGACGACGGGGGCAACGGCCTTGGGAGCCAGGCGCCGCACCGCAGCGTGCAGGCGGCGGAGGATCATGGCGGCCTCTGCTGCTTCTGCTTCTTTAGCCGTCTCAGCGAGGTGCCGGCGGCGCTCGGCTCGAACTGCTTCGGCTGCGGCACTGGCGGCCTCGTCGAACCTGGACTGGAGGCGGCCGCAGGCGGGGGTGGTCTGATCTGCGTGGAGGGCAATGCGTCTCTGGATCTCGTGCTTCAGGTCTATCAGGGCCAATGTCTCATCCTTCAGCTTCGGCCTGTTCACCTTCGTCGGCTGGAGGAGGTAGCGCGGGGCCGCGGCCTCGATCACCGTGTGCTCCAGCGCATTGAAATAGTCGGAGGGCGTGCCGTGCTGCTGGCCCTCCCCACAGACCGCTGCCACGGTTGGGTTAGATTACGTTGGTGGAGAAGAGTCTGGAGGTGGTCGCGCATCGCAACTAGGCGAGGTGGGACGTCGGCATTCGCATCACTCGGTAGGCGCAGGTCCTTCACCAGAGCTTTGCGATCCAATCTAGCTGGCTTGGGTGCAGGAATTCTTTTGCAAGCACGCCAGCGTAGATGTGGGCTTCAACTGGGCGGTGGCCTCGATATCCTCCGAGGCTAACTGGTAAGTCTTTTAGGGGGTGAGCCTTGGTGCCATAGGCCCCGCACAATCTAACACAAATGTGGTCGATGGTCGTCCAGCTCTTGCCGATCACATGCTTCCACGCACCATTATGTCTCGCACGCTTGCCGAAGGTGTTGAGGGCGGACAGGTGGAACGTCTGGAGGAAGTCTAGCAGGCGGGCGCCGTTGCCCTTCAAGCTGGCGCGCGCGCTGCGCTGGCCCGCAAAGCCGACGTGCGGGAGCTGGGGCGCCAGGGCAGCATTCGCATCCACGGTCATCACTAGGACGACCCGCTGCGGCAGCTGGCTCAGGGCGGACCTGCGCGTGTCCCAAAAGCGGTCCTGGAGGTCGCGGTGGGCGATGCTCTTCTGGCGCTGGTCCTCGCCAGCCTTCGCGGGTCCAACTTCGTGAGCGGGGGGGGGGGGGGGGGGGGCGCAACCGCTCAAGATGTATAGGTATCTTTCTTTGGGTCCCTTACGTGCAAGGCGAATACCGTGTAGTCGGCCGTCCAAGTGTGAGATACTCTAAGTTCTGAAGGAGCGAATGTGCGGAGGTCGAAGGCGATCAAACAGCCATCTCTGCTCGTTCGTGCCGTGCGCGGGGTAGGGATGATTCTGTAGCCTTCAGTAGCCCAGGGAATGCTCAGCTCCATGAGGGTGCTCTGGAGGCTGACGACGGCCACTCTCCTGGATCTCGCAAGCCTGAAAATCTCCGCCAAGCGATCTGCCCGAAGTAGGCTCTCGCAGTTGTAGGTCCAGAAGGTGAGCTGCTGGGTGTGGCGGTGGTCTCGGCGGCGGCGGTGATGATAATATACAGCGGCACTGGTGGCCGTGTTTGGTGCAGTAGGCAATATACGAGCTGGTGTCGTAGCCAAACGCGTAGACGTCGGTCTTGCTCCTGGAGCTGTAAATTCATGCAATACTGGGAAAAGTGCAGCTGCCGTGGTTCTGGTCTACCTCTTGCCATGGTACCACACCTGTCCCTCCAATCTCAATGTTCGCACGGCCCGTCGAAAGGCCCTTTTGCCACCCATATGCACTTGCTCCCTGGGGGCCGCTGTCGGCATTGTCGATCTTACCTCGAGGTTCATGGCCGTCGTGCAGCGATCCAGCGCTCAACTCGCCGACCTCAGGGTTCTTGGAGGTCTTCCCCATCACATGCGCCTCGCAGCGCTGGCCATGGCGGCTGAAGGGAAGAGGGTCGGTGTCACGGCACACCTCTCGCACTCTAGAACACACGGCATGCGGGCACGGCACGGCACTTTCCCCCATGGGACGCACAAGGACATACTGGTACTAAATGTCCTCCGTGGAGGCGTGCGCCCGACCCGCACATATAGTTTTCCCATCCTGTAGTGTAACGTTTCCCGAACGGCGTGGCCAGAATGCGCCAGCCACGACGCATATACTGTGAGATCTCCCGGTGCGCGCGCCGCCCCTGGGGGAGGGACGCACACATAGTAGTAGTTGTGTTGAGGTGACGCTGACCCCATTCTAGAACCTACGTGCGGCAGGTTCGTGTCGTATCAACGCAAGCGTTGGTTCCCAATACTGCGCGGACCGTTCAATCTTGAACGATCGGCCGTTCCCGAAACGTCAGGATCGTTCACCATCGACCCATTCTGGGCCGCCGGTCGACACGACGCGAACCTACCGTACGGCACGGCACGCGGGCGCGGAACGGCCCTCTCCGCAGTCCAAGACCAGGGCGCGGCACGGCGCAGCTCGGGGCACGGCACGGCACAGCCGCCGTGTAAAGCCCAGGCACGGCACGGCACGGCACGCGTTTCGCACTCTTGAGCTCGGGCGTGGCGCAGCACGGCACGCGAGCACAGCATGTCACATGGAACCTGGGCCCTAGGCAAGGCACGGCACGGAACATGCATTGCATTCTCGGACCTAGCCACGCGACGGGACGGCATGCGAGCACTGCACGGCCAGCCAGCAATACATGTTTCGCATATTGTGCCATGGAATCGGGTTCCCTTGATGCAGTTGAGACTCCTTGCAGCACTCGCTGTTGAGGAAACAACTTGGAATGAACCGCGTGGTGGGAGTGGATCGCCTGCGACTGTCTCGCCAGATCTTGCCCCGCTCGCATTGGGCGTTGCACTGGAATCTACTGTTTCGCCAAGACCGTGTTTGCCTGGTCCCCAGCGTTATATTCGGTGTACTCCCCGGAAGGTGAAATCGGGCCCAGTCTGAGCCTGCAGCCTTACCGCATCAGAGGTGGCTCCAGTTTGGCAGCCCTGCTCTGACGGATGTGCTCATTCCAGGGCGCTGCGTGACGCGATTGACATAGGACATTGGGGAGAGCAAAAGGTACCGATACCGCTGGTCCCCGGACCTCTCCTGGGGTGCGTTCTGACCAGAATTTTGAGGCGAATCCAGCGGTGGCGACGAGGGCCTCCCAGGAGGCTCAAAAAGGGGATAATGGGCGAAGGGGTAGAGGTATGGGTACCTCTTCCTCCTCCGAGACATATCCTTTCCTGTTCCTTTGGTTTCCTGACCGCTGGAGGTTCCCAGCAGCGGCACGCGCGCGCCCGTGGCCGAGCCGCTCGCCGCCTGGGAACGGGGCAGGCCCGAGCGCTCACGGCCGTGATCCTGTGCGAGACCGCGGTGCGCGAGGGCAGCGAGGGCAGCGAGGGCAGGACTCCACAACGGAGCTCGACCTAGACAGTGTTTTCCGTTCTCGTGCTGTCGTCGTTTCCCCTCTGTCTTCGTTCCGCCTTTGCTGCAAAAGCGAAATCAAATACGAAGACGGCCCACGAGATCGCTAGAACACGGGTTAGGTCGAGCCCTGCTTCACAGCAGCAGGAGAGAGAGAGAGAGAGAGCGCGAAAAAAAAAGCACGCCCGAAGTCAACCCCCAGGTCCATCGCGCTGTCGGCCAAAAGCCCAGCGCGGCCGCCGACGAAGTCGCGCAGCTATTGGGCAACCAGACAGTCCGTGCACGCCAGATTGCCTTGACTGGCCTTGGACAGGGAGATTGGCCAGCCGCATCTTCCACTGGAGCACGCTCCAACTGACAAGAACTCTGAAGACTCGAAATTACCTCTGGGGCCGACGCCGTGGAGTCTAAACCCGAGTCGTCTATGAACTGCGCCAGGAAAAAGAATCATCCGGAGTTTGATGCCCGGAAGCGGCCCCTGGAGCTAGCTGGACAAGGGGTGCGCCGCGGAGCAACCAGCCTCCGTTCCAGGAGAGGCAAAACCAAGGCCAATCAACCGCCCACCCCATGCTCACAAAACGGCCGCGCTCGCACACGTGACTGCAGAGCTGGGCGACGGGGGCGGTGAAACTGGGCGTCCTGGACTCGGCGGCCAAACGCCCCAAGGAAACATTATCGCACCATTTCGCCTTGTCCCAGGGGAGGAGCTCAGCTCTGGCCGCCTGGCCCCCGACAGTCAGCACGAACGAAGTGGGTACGGAAAGAATGGGTACAATGCCCAACAGCAGTTCCTGTTCATTTTGAACAGGACCCGCTGTCCGAGCCGCCGCGGCCTCTGTCCACTTGAGACAGAAGGCCGCCTGCCCAACAGCGGCCGCTGTTGGTTTGGGACAACGTTTGTTGTTGGGCACTGTACCCTTTCTTTCCGTGCTCATTCCGGGCGTCCAAAGACGGCGCCCGCAGCGGGAGCACAGGAAGCGCCGGACGAACAAGCGAGCACGTTCGCAGCCGCGCAACCCCGAGCGCGGGCGCGAGCGGCTCCGCGGGCGCATCCCTCTCATCGCTCATGGGAGAAGCGCCACCTGGATAATGTGAAGCTGGGAGGCTGGACATCGCTTCGCAGATGGCGAAACGCATGGAAGCCACTTGACGGGCCGAATCGGACTGCCTCGTGCGGTGCCTCACGTGGAAGCCGCCCGCCGCCTGCGCCGTCGACGCCATGCGAGCCGCCGCAGCCGCTCGGGCGCGATCGCGAGGCACGGGGGCCAGGCGGTGGCAGGGGCCATCAGAAGTCCTCTGAGAAGCCTCCGAAGACGCCTCCCGAAGCTCGGCCCATGGAGAGGCCTCGCTCTTCAACGAACTCATCGGGTCCGAGGCAACCAAGCCAGGGGCGGCCACCGTGGCCTTCGGCCTGAAACCTGGCGCCTCCTTGGAGGCCGGGCGAGCGTTCTGCCCCCTTTCTCTGATGTTGGAAAGTGGCCAATCCTGTCCACCCCGCCACGTCGTCCCTGAGCGCCTCTGACTCGGAGGCGCTGATGAGCGTCTGCGCTAGGGTCGCCGCGTCCCTCGCGGATCCCCGACCACTCGGCCCTGCTGGGTGCTCCCGGGCAGGGTTGGCCCTCCTGCCCACCCTTGAGGCAGCGCGAGCGAGGGCCTGGGCAGCTCCAAGAAACTCCTTGAAGTCACCGGTCAAAACGCTGCTCGCGCGAGGCGGGGGGCGGAGGAGTTGGCTGTGAGCCTCCGGGGCCTCCTCGGAGACCTCGCTGGCCGCGGGGGTCAGATCCTGGAACCAGCGCAAAACCCGCTTCCCCACCAACAACTTGAAATGGCGACGCGGACGGGCTTTGTCTTGAAACATAAGCACCCAGCGCAGCTGCGGTGACTTACTCCGGGCGCCATCGCCAGGCAGCTCGGACTGCGCGACATTGCAGAATTCTTGCTCGGCCCTATCCGCCCAGCCCCCGTCGACCCGATCCGGCATTGCCGGGGCCTCCCCCGACTCCCCCGCGGGGGCCCCGTCGGGCGCGCGTGGGCCGAGAGGGGCGCCGCTGCCAGCGGCGCCCTCCTCCGATGACCCAGAGAGCCCCGGCGCGCGCGCGGCCGAACTCGCTGGTCCAGCACCGAGTCGGCCCCCTCCACTGCTGACGACGGCGACCCTGGAAAGTGCATGTTCCTCACATCTACAGGCGCCAGCGGGGCGGAAGGGGTGCCGCGCCCGACGACGACGCCGAAGCCGCCGAACGCGATCGGTGCGAGTTCCCCGACGCAGCCATGCAGCTGCAGCTGCCCCTCGCGCTGCTCGTTTTTTTTTTGTCTGGCGACTGCTTGGGAGCGCCTGCCCCCCTCGCGGCCGAAGAGCGGGGGCCCGAGAAGATGGGGGGCGACCCGACCGCTGAGCAGACAGGAGTGCCCGACGCGCTGGCGTCACTGTAAATACCCAGCCCGCCATCTGCCGTCGAACGTAAGCTCATGTTTTCCGCCGGCGATTCCGCCCCACGGGCTCCGCCACAGTAGGCCAGGCCCTCCGCGGGCCTTCTCCGTCAGACAGTCTCTGCCTTATGAAGGCTCGCCCAGGGCCGCAACCTTGACGCAGCAATCGTGCTCCTTGAAATGCCCGGACCGCCGCAGCCAGACTTGACCACGAAGGGGGGGGTCGATGGCGGCATGGCTTAGGTGCTCACTGGAGGGGGAGGACGACGCGGCCCCTGGCGCTGCTGCGCCAGGACAGGGCTGTCGACCTTCACGTTCATGACCCAGTGGGTGGGGGGACTCACAGACCACGCCGTGCTAATCCCACACACGTCGCAAAGCTCAGCCATCCTGCTAAATGGGGCAGTTCAGCGGATGCCGCCAACGCCTGATTCACTGCGAAGTAGAAGAGCCCGCACCACCACAGGTAGGAGAGCCCACATTACCCGGCCTGTATGCCGCGGGGTAGTTTGCTGCCATGGCGCGAAAGCCACGAGAGCTTGCATGTGGTCAAGGTCGAACTCCTCAAGGGGCGTGGCACCGCTGCCAGAACCATGGAGAAAACGATACTTAGCCGTAGCCCACGGCGGCCTCTCGCTCCCCCGTGCTCGCCCTTCTCCACTGCTTGCACCACTTCCATTGCATGAGGTTTTTCAAGCAGCGACACTCGGCACAGCCAGCCTCGCCCTCGGGCTCTGTGGAAGCCGAGCGCCACGGTCTCCTCCCGCCGTCGCCAGCCTTGCCGCGGCCCCCACGACTCGCAGCGGCCCCTGCCGTGGCGACACGGCGGTCTCCGTGGTGACTGCCGAGCGCCTGCCTGGCCTGAACCACGGCGAAGACCACACGGGCTTGGGCTCGCCATCTTCTCAGCCGCCTGTGCCGGGCGGGGAAAGGCGATCGGTCACGGCGCACGACCGCCGTGGGGGAAAGTGAAGAAAAAATACACCGACGCCCTCTGAACACAGGCGAAAGGCTGGGGCTTTGCAGGGAACGGCCCCAGCAGGCCGCACGCAAAACGCCGAAAGTGGGGGGAGGAGAAGGAGGAGGAGGAGGAGGAGGAGGAGGAGGAGGAGGAGGAGGAGGAGGAGGGAGGAGGAGACGGAGGAGGAGGAAAAGGAGAAGGAGGAAGGAGGAGGAGGAAAAGGAGGAGAAAGAGGAGGAGGAGGAGGCAGAGGACGACGGAAGCGAGGGGGGGCCGCGCGCTCGGCGACGGGGCGCCCCCACCCCCCCGAGCCTGCGCCACGATGGCGCTGACGGAGTCCACCGCGAAGAGCACGTCGCTGATCTCGAGGCAGCAGACGACCAGGAAGAGCATGGTGGCTCGCCACTGCCTGGGCCTGGCGGGGCAAGCCGCTTTCGCCAAGCGGTCGCTGCCGCACCGTCGCTTTTGCCCAGCAATCGTTTCCTGTCCCGTCGCTTTCACCCGGATTCCCCAGAAAACGAACGAACGCCACCGCCAGCCGCTGGCCCCTCAGCCGAGACGTTGGTTTGTGCTGTTTGAACTATCCTCTTAAGCACTCG